GGCCGCAGCAGCCCTGCGGGCGACCGCTTCCGCACCTTGACCTCGCTCTCCGAGTCGGTGTACTCCAGCTCCGTGCCTGCAGGCGGGCGAGGGAGGGGCTGTGGACAGGGGCTCGTGGGCCCTCACTCCTCTCCCACCCAGCTGCCCTGGCCACCAGCAGAAGGGCCACAGCCCCATTCCTCCTGCAGGGGACCTCACCACGCCTGGGAGGCTTCTCCCCGTTTCCGGGGAGGAATCGGAGGCCGAGAGGGAAGGACTTACCAGCCACATGCCTGTGAGTGGCAGGTCCTGCTGGCCTCACACCTGTCCCAGACCCCCTTGTCTGCCCAGACTCTGCTCTAGACGCCTCACCCCAAGAGCACCATCTGGGAATGTGGAGATTCCTGCCTGGACACGTGTGTGCCCCAGGGGAATCCCGAAGCCAGGGCAGGTGAGCTGGGGGCGCCCACACCTGCAGGGCAGCACTCCAAGGAGGCAGGTGGGAAAGCCCACACAAAATCCCCAAGCCCGGTGGGGCTGCTCCTCTGCTTCCTGGTGCCACTTCTCAGAGCTGGGCGGTCCCTGGCACCCACTCCCCCTTCTAGAAAACCGGATTCACCAGAACTCACACTGCCCTGGGGCCCAGCCCCTCCTCTCACCCTGGTGGAAATGCCCCCTCCCACAACCAAGGGGCCAGCTTCCCTCCACTGCTTAGAGCCAGGCCCAGAGACAGGAGCCAGGCCAAGAATCCAAACCAGGGAAAGAATGTGAACTAGGGGCTGGTAGGTGCCTCACCCAGTACCCACCACATGGGACATGAGGAGGCCTTCCTCCTCCAGGCAGACCTCAGGGATGCGACGTCTGTGAGAGCCCTGGGCTGACCACCCCAGATAGGGACTTGCCCTGGGTCCCAGAGCAATGAGCTGAGAAGCCAGGTCTGGACCCCAGGCCTACTGCCCAGGAGGGCTCCCATGGGAGGCCCAGCTCCAACACCCCAGCAGATGCAGCCGCAGTAGTAAGGGCGGAGCCAGGGGAGGGGGCACACTCCATGGGAAGGAGCCATTTGCAAAGCTTAATGATCCCATTAATTAATCTTTTGTTAAGAGACTTCCTGCTGCAGGGGAGGCAGCTGGGGGCTTTCATGGCTGATTAAGGTACAGGCCATAAAACACCAGCCTGAGAGTTCTGCTTCTGAGTATGACGGAATGAGATCCCACATGACAACAGACACCCTGCATGAAAGCACCAGAAAACCTAGAAGATGCACTGCAAGGAAGCGAGTCCGAGACTGGACAGAGCAGTGACCGAGAGTGGACACTCGCTTGGAAGAGGGGAGACTGGAGCTGCACGGGTAAGACCAGGTCAGAAGACAAGTGATGATGAGACCAGTAAGGCAGCACGAACGGTGCCTGGGGCAGAGGGAGCCGCGTCTGTCAGGGTCCTGCAGGGGGGACAAGCGTGAAGCCCAGAGAGAGGGAAGGCGGGCCGGGGCAGGGAGCTGAACCCACGTCCTTGACCCCCACCCAGCGTCCTGTGCAACAGCCTCTTCCCCCAGAAACAGGCAGTAAAGGAGCAACAGAGGAACAAAGAAATAGACCTAAAAACAGGCAAAAAAATAAGAAGAGAGGACGACACAAAAACAGATTGAAAGTCAAGGGGTAAAAAAAGATACAAGATACAAGTAACCAAAGGAGAGCTGGAGCAGCCGTACACACACACGTCGCTTTACCACACCTCACAGATGCTGCGTTTTTTTTTTTTACAATTCAAGGTTTGTGATAACCCTGTGTTGAGCAAGTCTATCAGCACCATTTTTTCAAAAGCATTTGCTCACTTCATGTCTCTGTGTCACATTTTGGTAACTCTCACAATATTTCAAACCTTTTCATTATTACTATATTTGTTATGTTGATCTGTGATTAGTGATCTTTGGTGACATAGTATGATTCACTGAAGGCTCAGATGATGGTTCTCATTTTTTATCAATAACGTATTTTTTAAGTAAAGTATATGCATTATTTTTAAGACATAATGCTATTGCACACTAAATAGACTATGGTATATAAACATAACTTTTATATGTCCTGGGAAACAAACATTTGTGTGACTCACTTTATTGTGATACTGGCTTTTTGTGGTGGTCTGGAACTGACCCCACAATCTCTGAGGCATGCCCGTACTAATAACAGATAAAATAGATTTTAAGACAAAAGTTACTACTAGAGACAAAGAAGGACATTTTTAAAATTTCAAATTATAAAATTGTCAATCCATCAAGAAGACATAACAATTATAAACAAATATGAAAATAATCCAGAAACCTGTAAAAAAAAGGTTATACACCATGACCAAGTGGGATATATCACAGGGATGCAAAGTTGGCTTGACATCCTTAAAAAAAAATCAATGTAATATACCATATTAATAGGATAAAGGATAAAAACCACATGGGGACACATTAATAGACACAGAAAAGCAATTGTTGACTGATTTTTATCATTTTACAAATGAAAGGAAACTTCCTCAAACTGAGCAAAGACACCTATGAAAACCCCATCACCAACATCATACTTACTGTTGAAAGAATGAATGCTTTCTCCCTAAGATCACAAGATAAAGATATCTATTCTATCTCGTCTCACTAATTCCATTCAATATTGCATGGAAGATTCTAGCCAGAGCAATTAGGCAAGAAAAATAAAAGGCAAACAAACACATTGGAAAGGAAGATGTAAAACTGTCTCTATCTGCAGATGACATGATCTTGTATATAGAAAATCCTAAGGAATCTACTAAAAAACTATTATAATAAATGAGTTTAGCAAGGTTGCAGGATACACTTGTATTTCTACACAGTAGCAACGAACACTCCAAAAATGAAAAGAATTCCATTTACAATAGCATCAAAAAGAGTAAGTTCTTAGGAATAAATTTAGCAAAAGATGTGCAAGACTTGTACAATAAAAACTTCAAAACACTGTTGAAAGAAATTAAAGACCCAAATAAATGGAACGACATTTCATGTTCATGAATTGAACAACTTAAATGATTGAGATGTCAGTACTCTCCAGTATGATCTACCAGTTCAACACAATTCTCATCAGAATCCCAGTTGCCTTTTTTTGCAGAAACTGACAAGCTGATCCTAAAATCCATGGAAATGCAAGTGACTCGGAGGCACCAATCTTGAAAAAGAACAAAGATGGAGAACTCATATGTCCCAATTTCAAAACTTCCTACAATAATTCCCACAGGAGTCCAGACAATGTGGTACTGGCATAAAGACATATATACAGATCAGTGGAATAGAACTGAGGGTCTAGACACAGACCTAAATGGAAGTCTTAAACTGTAAAAACTCTTAGGAGAAAATGGGACAAAATCTTTATGGCCTTTAATTAGGCAATATTTTCTTACATATAACACCAGAAGTACAAGAGACATCAGAAGAAATAGATTAATTGGACTTCATCAAAATTAAAATTTTTTGTTTCAAACAACACTATCAAGAAAGTGAAACAGACAACTCACAGAATGGGAGAAAATACTTGCAAACCATGTATCTGATAAGAGAGTTGTAGCCAGAATATATAAAGAACTCTTATGCAACAACAAAATGACAATCCAATTTAAAAATGAGTAAAGAATTTAAATAGACATTTCTCCAAAGATGACATACAAATGGCTACTAAGCATATGAAAGGATGCTCAACACCATTAGTTATTAGAGAAATGCAAATCAAAACCACAATGAGATACTATCGCACACCCACTAGGATGACTATCATCAAGAAGACAGATAATAACTAAGTATTGGAGAGGATGTGGAGAAATTGGAACCTTCATACACTGCTGGAAGGAATATAAAATGATGCAGCCACTTTGGAAAATAGTTTATCAGTTCCTTAAAAGGTAACTACCAAATGACCCAGCAATTTTCCTCCTAGCTCTGTACCCAGGAGAACTAAAAACATGTCCACACAAAAACGTATACATGCATGTTCATAGCAGCATTATTCAAAATAGCCCAAAGATGTAAACAAAAACAAAAAAGTAGATAAACAAAATGTGATATACCCATAAAATGGAGCATTATTCGGCCATAAAAAGGAACGAAGTCACACAGAAGAAATAGACAATCTGAGGAGAACTTTATCTACTAAAGAAATTGTATCAACAATTAACAGTCTTCTGAAACAGAAAGCACCAGGCCCAGATGAGTTCACTGATGAATTCAAATCAACATTTAAAGAAGAAGCTGTACCAATTCTCTGCAATCTCTTTCAGAAGATAAAAGCAGAGGGAATACTTCCTAATGCCAGCATCACCCTAACACCAAAACCAGATACAGACATGACATGAAGACAAACGGAGATCAGTCTCTCTCATGAAAATAAATGGAAAATCCTCAAAAAATATTAACAAATCAAATCCAAAAAGGTATGAAAATAATTATACACCACAACCAAGTGGGATTTAACCCAGGTATGCAAGGCTGGTTCAATGTTCAAAAATCAAAAATCAATTAATGTAATCCAATATATCAATAACCTGAAGAAAGAAAAAACATGATCATGTCTTGGATGCAGAAAAAGCATTTGACAAAATCCAACACTCATTCATGATAAAAACTCTCAGTAAACTAGGAATCGAGGGGAAATTTCTCAACTTGGTAAAGAATACCTACCAAAAACCTACAGCTAACATCATACTTAATAGTGAGAAACTAGAAGCTTTCCCACTAAGATCGGGAAGAAGACAAGGATGTCCCTTCTCACCACTACTTTTCAATCTCATATTAGAAGTCTCAAGCTAATGCAATTAAGATAAGAAAAGGAAATAAAAGGTATGTTGATTGAGAAGGAAGGAATAAAACTGTCTTTGTCTACAAATAACATGACTATCTAAATAGAAAATTTGAAAAAAATGACAAAAAAAAATCTACTGGAAATAATTAACAATTACAGCAAGGTTGCATGATACAAAGTTAATAAACAGAAGTCAATTACTGTCTTACATACTATCAATGAACAAGTAGAATTTGAAATCTAAAACACAATACTATTTACATTCACATCCCCCAAAATGAAATACTTAGGTTACAAATACATACAAGATCCATATGAGGAAAACTATAAAACTATGATAAAAGAAGTCAAAGAAGATACTCCATATTCATGGACAGGAAGACTTGATAATGTCAAGATGTCATTTCTTCCCAGCTTGATCTATAGAGTCAATGTAATCCCAGTAAAAAAATCCCAGCAAGTCATTTTGTAGATATCAACACACTAATTCTAAAGTTATATAAGGAGAGGCACATAGGAGAGGTAAAAGATCCAAACCGCCAATTCAATATTTAAAGATGAGACCATAGTCAAAGGACTGACAGTACTTGATTTCAACACTTAGTATAAACCTAGAGTAATCAAGACAGTGAGGTACTGGCAAAAGAACAAGCAGATCAGCGGCACAGAACACAAAGCCCAGAAATAGCCTACCGTAAATACAGTCAAATGATCCCTGACAAAGTAGTAAAGGCAATACAACAGAGAAAAGGCAGTCTTTCCAATAAATGGTGCTGGAACCAGTGGACATCCACATGCCAAAAAATGAACCTAGACACAGACCTTACACCTTTCACAAAAATTAATAATTCATAATGGACTACAAGCCTCAACGTAAACCCCAAAAATATGAAATTCCTAAAACATGATACAGGAGAGAATCTAGATGACATTCAGTTTAGCAGTCAATTTTTACATAAAAAAGCCAAAGGCACAAACTGTGAAAGAAAGAACTGATAAGCTGGACTTCACTAAAATTAAAAATTTCTTCTTTGTGAAAGGCACTGTCAAGAGAATGAAAAGACAAGCCACAGACTGGGAGAAAATATTTGTAAAAGATAAATCTGATAAAGGACTATTTAGCCAAACTATACAAAGAACTCTTAAAGCTCAATATTAAGAAAACAATCCAATTAAAAAATGGGCCAAAAACCTTACAGACACTTTATTAAAGATACACAGACAGCAAATAAGCACTGAAAAGATGTCCACATCATGTCACTAGGGAAATGCAAATTAGAACAGCAACAAAATACTACTACACACTCACTAGAAAGGCCAAAATCCAAACCCCTAACATCAAGTGCTGGCAAGGATGTGGAGCAACAGGAACTCTCTCGTTCATTGCTGGTGGGAATGCAAAATGGTACAGCCACTTTGGAAGACAGTTTGGCAGTTTCCTAAAAAACTAAACATACTCTTACCATATGCATATAATCCAGTAATCACATTCCTTGGTATTTATCCAAAGGAGTTGAAAACATGTCCATAGAAAAACCTACACACAGATGCTTATAGCAGCTTTGGTCAAAACTGCCAAAACCTGGATGCCACCCAGATGTCCTAGATGCCCTTGAGTAGGTGAATGATTGAATAAACTGTGGTCCATCCATACAATGGACTATTACACAGTGCTAAAAAAGAAATGAGCTATCCAGCCATGAAAAGACATGGAGGAGTCTTAAACGTATATGACTAAGTGAAAGAAGCCAATCTGAAAAGGCTACATAGTGTATGAGTCCAAGTCTACAACATTCTGGAAAAGGCAAAACTATAGAGACAACAAAACAAAACAAAAACTATAGAGACAATAAAAATATCAGTGGCTGCCAGAGATGGGGGTGGTGGGTATAGATGAATAGATGGAGCACAGAGGGTTTTTAGGGCAATGAAACTACTCTGTATGACACTATAGTGGCAGGTACATGACATTACACATTTGTCTAAATCCATAAAATATACAGCACTAAGAGTGAGCCCTAATGCTAACTGTGGATCTGGGTGATAATGAGGTGTCAGTGTCGGCTCATCAAGTCTAACAAGCGGACCACTTTAATGGGGGCTATTGATCATTCGGGGGGTAATATATGTGTGGGGGCAGCAGGTAAATGGGAGATCTCTGTACCTTCCTATCAATTTTGCTGTGAACCTAAACCTGCTCTTAAAACAGAAAGTCTACTTTTTAAAAAAGGGGGGAATTAAGTACTGATACACTTTACAACATGGATGAACCTTCAAACAGTTATGCTAAATGAAAGAAGCCAGACACAAAAAGCCACATATTGTATGACATCTTTTATGTAAATTGTCCAGAGAAGGGAAATCCATAGAGGCAGAAAGTAGTCTTTGCCTAGAGCTGAGGGCTTGGGGGAATGGGTGTGGGATTTCTTTTGGGGATGAAGAAAATGTACTGAAATTAGACAGTAGTGGTAGTTGCACAGTTCTGTGAATACAATAAAAACTACTGAATCATATACTTTAAAGGGTAAATTTTATGGTATGTGAATTATATCTCAACAAAGCTGTTTTTTTTTTTATGGTGGATTCAAACCCAGCCCTATCAATAATTACATTAAATACTAATAGACTAAAACATTGCCATGAAAAGACAGAGATTTTAAAAAGAATTTTTTTAAAAAGGACCCAACTATAAGCTGTCTACACAAGACTGACTTTAAGTATGAAGACAAAGGTAAAATGAGAGTAAGTGGATGGAAAAAGATATACCACATGAATAGTAAGCATGAGAAATCTGGAGTGACTATTTAACACTAGATTAATGGATTTCAAAACAAAATACACTACAAGATAGAAAAGAACACTTTGTAATAACATAAGGGTCAATTCAAGGGGAAAATATAGCAATCATAAACATGTATGTACCCAATAACAGAGCCTCAAGTATTGATGCAAACGCTGACAGAATTAAAAGGAGAAAGAATTCTGTAATAATAGTTGGAGATTTCAACACCCATCTCTAAGAAACTGATAGAACCAGTCAAAAAACTAGTAAAAATATGTAAGACCTTAACACTTCCAATCACACTGACTTGACTGACAGAAGTGACTGAGTCATAGAATACTCTACCTAATGACATCCAAATGCATATTCTTTAAGTGCACACAGTACATTTCCTAGGAAAGACCATGCACCCTGAAGTTTTTAAAATTTAAAAAGATTGAAATGATACAAAGGATGTTCTCTGACCAAGAGGGAATTAAATTAAAAATCAATAACAGTAAGATAGCCAGGCAACCCCACGAACATTTGGAAAATAAATAACATTGGTCTAAATAACGATTGCATCAAAGTAGAAATCACAAGAGAAATTAGAAAATATTGTGAATTGGGTAACAGTGAAATATGACAGCATATCAAAATGTGTGAAATGTAACTAAAGCAGTGTTTGGAGCAGTTTATGGCTTTAAATACCTCTAGAAGAAAAGGAGGCCCCAAGTCAATGACCCACACTTGCACCTTAAGAAAGAGGAAGTGGTTGCAAATTATACCCAAAGAAAAAGGAAGGACAGAAATAACAAAGAACAGAAATCAATGAAATCGGTAACTTCTAACCACACTGATCAACAAATATAGGAGAAACAAATTATCTGTACCAACAATGAAAAGAGAAACATCACTACAGACCCTTAAGCCATTGAAAGTATAAAAAGGAGAAAATGTGAACTCTCTGCCAATAAGTTTAACAACTTTTGATGAGATGGTTGTTTGGGGCAAGTACAGAAGGCACAATGAGGTGGGGTGGAGGCTGTGGACAGGATGATGCTGTCTGAGCAGCCACAGTCTGAAGGTGGAGGGCCAGGTGCAGTCTTTCCAGAGGGCAATGGGGAGCGGGTAAGAGGTTCTAAGCAGAGAAGTAGCCTGGTCAAGTGCGAGCTTTGAGGAAAAGCCCTGCAGCTGCTTCTGCATAGAGAACACCTGAGAGGGCTGGGCCCGGAGGGAGGTCAGTGCCACTGTTCAGGGGAGCCAGGCCCAAAGCCCCCCGGGGAATCATGGCAGGACATGGGGGCGAGACACAAAGAGAAGGGAGGGGAAGGGGGCAGAACAGGGCCTGGAGCCTGGTGTGGGCTCAGGGGAGACAGTGAGACTGCCCCAGAGATGGAGTCTGGGGAGGTGGCACAGGCCGCTGGGAATGGAGCTTTGGTCCTGGAGCCTGTGGGGTGCATGAAGTCAGGGGGGCTGGGGGAGGCCTGGGGGGCAGCAGGGTAGCACCACAGTGCCCATCTTCCAAGCCCCAGCCCCTGCCAGGAGGGTCTCAGGGGTACTGCTGAGGCTTGGCAAAGGGCAAGGAGGCCAGGCTGAGGACCAGCCCCCGCTAAGTCCAGGTGAGCTCACAGCCTGAACACATGCAGAACCATCTCAGTGTTGAACACCAACGTCAGATGAAGGTCCCAAGGTGTCTGTTTGTCCCAAGAAGGCAGGAATATGGTTGGAGACACAGAGAGGAAGCAAGCAGCGCCAGGACAAGGTTGAGCCTCCGGCTGGAGCAGTGCCTGCTGCCTCCGTTTGCCCACACAGGCAATGGGATGGTGAGCCTGGCTACCCCCACTGATGAATCCCTCCAGGCCCCAACTCCGGGCCCCACGAGTCCTGCCCTATCTGAGCCAACCCATCTCACTGAAGGAATCCCCTCTAATGCCCCAAATGTAAGCAGACACCCCTTCCTGCAGGGCCTGCTCCTTCCACCTGCCCCTCAAGTTCTTCTGCAGATGCATAGCCAGTTCTCAGTTCTCTCTCACGGCTCAGCCAGGATGCTGCCAACCTGTGCGACCTCCCTGATTCCCCAGGCCTCCCATGGGCTCCCACAGCCCCCCAGGATGTAGGTCTAAGACCTCTGCTTCCCAGAGCTGCCTGACATCGGGCACCTGAAGTGGCGGAGGAATCAGGTCCTGTTTATTGGCACATCAATGGTGAAGGTCACCACACGGCTTTGGAGACCCCTCCCGGAGAATGGCAGGCCAAGGCCCCATCGCCAGCTCCCCTCTGCTCAGGACAGGGCTGGGTCCCCGTAGGGGCAGGGTTCCCAGATCTACTCCTACCCTTCTCTGGTGCCTCATGTGTAGGATGGGGCAGTGGTACCCGCCTCCCTGCAGCCCACCTGCTGGCACTTACCCATCAGGCTCTGCCGCTCCTCCTTCTTCCGGGCCTTTTGCTTGGCCTCCAGCTGTACCACTGACAGGGATGGCCCCACTGTGGGGCTGGGGAGGGCGCTGGCTGCAAAGCGGGCCAGCAGGCCCAGCCCACTCTCCTCCAGGCCTGGCGACAGGGCCCGCTCCCGGGCCCCCAGCCTATAGCCACCGGTGGCCTCGTCCTCCTCCTCCTCCAGCTCATCCTCCTCGTCCTCCTCCTCGGAGCTCTCATCTGGCGTGCAGAAAACAGGGAGCGAGTCAGAGCCTCAGCCTGAGCCTGCGCCACCCCCCACCACCCCCTACTCAGCCGGAGCACCAGTGAGGCAGGGCTGCAGCTCCAGCCCAGCTCCTCATGCCTCACCAGCCCACGAGTCCCCCCGACGGCCCAGTGCCCCATCAAAGCAAGCCCAAGACCTGGGCATCCTGGACAGCCCAGAGGTGGGCAGCAGCTTTGGGAGTCGAGTGTGAATCTTCAGGGGGAGCACGAACATGCACCTGTGCTGTAGGGAGGGGGACGGACACACAGACAAGGACTGGAGATAGCATTCTCCATGGTCTCACGCACACACACGCACACACACGCCCCGACACACAACGTGAAGGCTGGGGAAGGAAGCAGGAGGAGAGAAGGAGAGGCAAGGGTGAGGCAGAGTCAGGTGGAAGGGCCCTGGGGGCTCAGGCTGGGGTCCTGGGGGCCGGTGGCAGGAGAAGGCAGGGTTTGGTCTCTTCTTGACGGGGTGGGAGGCCCCCATGACTGAAACCCTGAGTAGGCTCTGGGGTCCAAAGTTGACTTCCAGCAACAAGCCCTAGCTGGGAAGCCTGGAGCAAATCCCTGGCCCTCTCTGAGCCCGTTTTCTCATCTGTGGCAGAGGTGGCCCTCCCTACCCACCCAGCTAAGGGGAGGATCCAAACAGGACCCCAGATGCATAGAAGAAAACACTCTATAAGTGTGAAAAGGATCAGACACAAGACCACCTCATTCTACAAAGAAAACCAACTGGGCTGTCCCCACAGCCACAAGCCAGGTACACCTCTTGACCCACGGGAGCTGGCGGTCAGCCCACTCTGCTCCCGAAGCCAAGGGGCGTGGTCAGGCGCTCAGGCAGCAGAACAGGACTCGAATCTGGGGCTGGCTGGCTGTCTCGTCACCCACAGTCTAGTGGGCAGAGACTCTAAGGCTGCCCCAGTTGGTGAACAGGGACAGGCTTCTCCCCAGGCACTGGCCCTGCCACTCGAGGAGCTGCAGCCCGGAGCCCAGCTCGGGCCGTCAGAACAAAGGTGGGGAAGGCAGTGGGGCTGGCAGGAACAGCAGGGAGGACGATGCCCCCTGCATGGGAGCTGAGCCCTCCACCAAAATCAGGGTCTGTCTGGAAGCCCAGGCCTGCTTCCTGCCTTTCTAGGGAGATGGACCAGCTAAACCCATGAGGGCAGGCAGATGCGGGGCTGCCCAGTGCCGGCTGCGCCATGAGATGCCCTGGCCAAGGGGCTGCCGAGGACACCTGCCGGACGGTGCCTGTCTGCCCTGAGTGGGGTGGGAGTGTGTGTGTGACAGTGGCTCTGGGGCCACTGGCCAAGGGCAGGGCCAGGCTAGGCTGGAGGCGACTCTCTCCAACAAGAAGAGGTGGGAGGAAAATGAGCCATCTTCTTTCTGTCTTTAACCTGGGGGGCAGGGAGTCTAGGGGTTGTATGGGCCCTAGACAATGGCCAACTCCACATTCTCCTGCCAACAGCCCAAGCTGCCTGCCTGCTGGAGCACTACCAGCGGCCAAAACTGGCAGCCCCAGGGGATGCCAGTGAGGGCAAGGGTTCTGTCTGTTCACTCAACCAAGGGAGCCCTCAGGGAGGGAAGTGGTGATGAGCTCGAGGGATGCCTGAAGGGAGTTGAAAAGAGAAAGGAGGCAGAGAGAGAGGAGGTTTGTTAAGAGAGGTGAGAAGACGGAGACCCGGCTCCCAGAGCAACAGATGCAGCGGGATGGAGGCCAGCGGGGCGGGCAGGCGGCAGGCAGGCAGGCAGGCAGTGCACACTTGCGATCCATTCACATTGCGGACGTCACATGGTTCTGTCTCCGCCCAGTGGGCCACAGTGGCAAAGCAGGCTAAGTGTAGGCAGACTTTTGGCAGCGCCTGGGTCCCCCACATCAGGCCCACCATGGGGCCGGCCAATTTGAGCAGGGTGGCGGGCAGGGGGCTGGCCGGGGTGGGGGTACGGGGTTGGGTGGGGGCCAGCTTTCCCTTCTAGAGGTACCCTTCCCGGGGCCACTCAGGTGTGGAGACTCCAGAACTCTCCCATCCCGAAGGACTCTCCACTGGTGGGGCCCGGCGGGGTCAGTCTGGCTCTGGGTTTCTGATGTCTGGAATGACAAACATCAGATCCCCAAAAGCCAGCAGTGGCCCCAACCCAGCACCCTGAGATGGGGTAATGTTTGGAAGGCCAAAGCCAAAACCAAAAATGAGTGCTTTCCACGAAATGCTGCCGCAGATTCTCTCGGTCTCCTGAGACCCTCCCCGCCTCCCACTCCAGCAAGCCCGACGGGGCTGCCGGGGCTGCCAGTGTGCCTGGACCGGGGTCTGAGGGGCAGGGGGAGCAGAGGAGCGCCACAGGACCAAGAAGGCCGTTCTGGAGTTGTCCACACCTGAGGCAACAGAGCTTGCCAAGGGTGGGCAGAAAAAGTCCCAACAAAGAAACCTGAGGAAATGCAGAAAAACTTCGTTTCTAATAGAAAAAAACTCTGGGCTCAGTATGTGGGGCTGGCCGTTGTCAGTTGGTTTTCTCAAACCCGATCCGTAAATGCCAAAGCGATCCGCTGCTGCCATAGCCGATGGGGGCAAACCCCGAGGAGGAGGGGTGCAGAGGGGACACAAAGAAAAGGGTTTTGCCTACCTACGGAGCAACGAGCCAGGCTCGGACCCAAGCTCAGTGACCCGCTGCGCCGTCTGCCCTACTCCCAGCCTTCGCTTTGCGTCCAGAGTGCAGCGTGAGAGCAAATGCAAGAGACCAAAACAGACATTCAAAGCATCATGGGTAGGGGTCAAGGGTGAAGGGATGGTCAAGCTGCTGGGGGGAAGAGAGCAGACACACTAGAAAAGCCAAGCCAATCAGGTGCTTTAGTAACCAGATGTCAGTGAGACCCTATTACCCAAATACCCCTTTCAAGACCTGTCCAGCGGTCTTGGGTGCAGCAGGGACTCCTCCTCTCTCACCCTGCACTCCCCCTATCTGGACTCTGTCCACTGCTGTGTCTGGCCCTGGTTTGAGGGGCCCTGGCTTCCTCTGAAGATTCTGGGCACTTTGCTATGTGATCTGGGGGAGCTGCCTGCTTCTCTATGGGGTCTGAGCTGGGGCAAGAGAGCTCAAAAACTTAGGCAGCTGGAAGTCTGGCTTTAAGGGGGAGGAGGCATTGGGGTCCAGCCCTGGGGAAGGGGAGGGGAGGGAGATGGCGAACTAGCCAGACTCATCCACAGAGGCCCAGGCTAGGGGAGGCCTTGGGAGACGAGGATAGCTGGAGAGCTTGTGGCACGGGTTGCGCTCGCTCCGGCGTGGCAGCAGCCCAGAACGAGCCATCTCCTGGTCACCCAAAATGCATCCCAGCCGGAGCATCAGGGTCTAGGCTCTGGGATCCCCCAAGAGGGTCTGCCCTGAAGCAAATCCTAAACCAGGGCGAGAAGCATTTAAGGACCCATTGGCTGCCTACCCCCGACCCCAGCCCAGGACATTTCTACTGGAGGTGCTGGGAGACACTGCTAACCCCCGGATTCCTTAGAGAAGCCAGAGCCAGGGGGCTCTCGGGGGCACTGAGTCCAACCCTCTCTTTGCAAGGCCAGCAAGCCCAGGGAGGACCTGAGAGCAGACCGGCCTGTGACCCACAGGCCAGGCTGTTCCCAGGGCACTGAGCTTTGCCCCTCCATGTGGCAGTGAAGCCTTTGAATTTCACAACAAAACTCGGGGACAGAGAATGGTCTTGACTCTGCACTGCCTACACGCCCTTCAAAACAGAAATATGTGTTAGAAAACGAGTGTTTGTAAGTATTTTTTAACCACTGTTGCGTAGGGATAGAGCTTTAAGAAAATAAAAGACAAACAAGCAGCTTAAAAAAAAAGGATGAAGCTGGAGGTGAAAGCAGTTGACTTTAAACCTGAAAAATGAAAGGCATGCCAACAGCTACCAGGGATATTTGAGTAACAGAGAGCGGCAGACTGCGTTATTCCATCTACCCTTCTGGGGGGGAGGGGAGGGGGAGGCACAAAACGAGGGAAGCGGCAACCTAATGGTCTAGTAAGGACACAGCAAGAGAGACAAGGCACACGGGTTTAGTTAAAAATGAACTCGATATGTTTAATAAAGCTTGGTATTACCAAAATCGCGGTACAAACATCAAGTCACACGCCCACACGACAGAATTGCATTTACAAAACGTCCCCCCGGGAGGCCTCTACAGGCCCACGCCGAGAGGACCCACCCAGGCCTGCGGTCTAGAGGGGTCGAGGAGGCGAGGAGGGTGCGGGGCGGAGAGGGGAGAGTGGAGGAGGGTGAAGACCAAAAACAGTCCGTATAAAAGCTCAAAAAGAGCTAGCCAATGGTATTATCACAATGATACAGGTACAAATAAAAACAAAATAAAAAGACTCAGGCTGATAAAGCAGGCTACGCTGCCAAGAACCTGGACGGCCGCCCTGGCCGGGCCATCCCGCGGACGGACGGACAGACGGCATCCGCCCTCCCTGCGCTCCCGCTCCCGCTCTCTCGCTCTCGCACTCACTCTCTCGCTCGGAAACACGGAAGGTATTGTGTTTGGAGCTAGTAACCTTGGTCAAACGAGTCCTCCGAAGAATCGCTGAAGGAGGAACGGGCCTCGACCTCTTGAAGCAGCAAACAAAACGGCTGCTTCCTGCTGGCGGCTGGCTTGGGCTTCAGAGTCCGGGCGGCCGCCAGACCCCTCTTGGTCAGCTTGGGGCCTCCAGCTGGCTTGCTGTTCTTCGCCACCATGCCGCACAGGAGCGAAGACGACAGTTTGGAGCTGGAGGGGCCTTGGACAGACCACTCATCCTTTAGGAATTCTTCCTCCTCCTCTGAGTCCGTATCTGCAGTCAAAGTAGTTTTTAATAAAGGTAAGTCACAGAGCGCCAGGGGAGGGAGGGCCTGGTGCCTTTCTTTCATTATTCTCAGTGCTTCTGAGAACAGCCTGCTGCGTGCCAGAACAGAGAGGTCCAAATGCCAGCTGGCCAGGGACCCAGCTGAGTTCCGCCACCTGGAGCTCTCCTCCCGCCCTGAGCCTCCCCTCTCACCTGGGAGGCCTCTGAACTATGGGCATCACACAGCCCATCTTTCCTGGGCCTGGACTCCAGGCCTTTTCTAGGCTGGGCACTGCCAGCATCACCCACTACACAGTCACTCAGCAAACAGCCTTTCCAAGCCTGGGGGCAGGCAGAAGCCCCACCCTCAGGGAGGTCTCTCCCCTGGGTATGGAGGTCCCCGCTTAGTCCCTTCTATCCTACAGGGCTGCACCCAGCCCAGAGGCTTTTTGGGGAGGGGCCGGGGCCAGGGCCAGGGCCAGGAGGGGAGAGGCTCAGGTAAAGAAAGCCCTATCCCCAAACGGCAGCTCCCAGTGGTGCGCCAAGCAGCATGCACAGACTCCCGAAGGCAATCGCACACACCCCTTCCCAGCCCTTTGGCTCAGCAATGTCAGGATGGCAGTGACGGCTTGAAACAGCTACACCAAGGAAACTGGCAAAACTTATTCCAACTCGGGGTTCCCCTCACCTTTTGTCACTACCAGAGAGCCAGGTTACCAGCACGCTGCTGCTCGCTTCCCACAAGTCTCTAGCCTTACTACACAGGTGAGGTCTTCCTAGGAGAGGATCACCCAGCTTTGGGGAGGGGAGCTGTCAAGTGGGCACAGCTCTCCCATCCCAAACATCCACCACATAGACAAACTCACACCACTTTGGTTCATTTTACACATGAGGCTGTTGAGCAAGATTTCATCGGACGAAAGGGCTCTGCAGCCAGACTGTAATCCCTTGATCTGATAAAATCCACTCCAAACACAAGGAATGTTCATGAACAAAGCTACAGCTCTGGCACCACCTGCTGTCTCCAAGTCCAAGAGAAACTACAGATGCGCGCGTGCGTGTGTGTTGGGGGCAAGGGTCCTCTGACTGACTCCTCCAACATCTATGCTTTCCACTCCAAAACCCCAACTGCAGGATGGCCTGGCAACTCTGGGCAGGACAAGGACAAGCCTCTGTCCGTCCCCCAGGCACAGCTCTTCCTCCCATGTGCTCCATCCCATCCTTCCTGAGGATGGAGCACACAGGAGATGGAGCTCCAGGCTCGAGATGCCCATGCGTGACAATGACCAACCTGGCTTCCCACCAAAACCCACCGAGCATGCCACCCAACCCCTACAACCCAAAGTGAAAAAGCAGGAGGGCAACGTTCTCTTTTCCCATCTCCTGCTGGCACAGCGTCTCTGCCAGGGAACATCTCGACCTGTTTGTGACTGCACACGCTCCGTTACTGAGAATGGCAGAAAAACCAATATAAAAAGAAAGAGAGAGAAGCGCGTTCTCCACAGTCAGCTGCATATTATAGCCATCACCTAGCTGGAGAGGGCTTCTGACCTCCCGTGGCAGTACCAACCATCTCTCCCTCCTGGACAGTGGAGTCTTAGACAAAGGCATAACGGACTTAGACGGGGGAGTTATAACTGTTCACGTGTAGGCACACACTGCTGCAGTGGACTTAGGACCTCAGAGCACCCCAGAGCCCCAGCTGATCTCTGGCCTCTCCAGCTGTACCCCATCCACACTCACCTGTAAGTAGGAAGGAGTCAGGGATTCTTCCAGCAACCAGCCAGGCCACATCCATCAACTTCTCTCCCCTGAAAGCTCAAAGGAGCTGCAATCCTCCTGGCTCTTTCATTATTCCAAAATAAGCAGAGAATGAAAGAGCAGAGGAAAGCCCTTCCTTCCTCCTTCAAAGGTACAAGTGTCTAAACTGGCCCACAGCGGCCAGGGGCCTGGACAATGCTGCTTGGCTCACACGCATCAGAATCTGAGGGATGAAAAGCTTTGGCCATCGGACACGTCCTCAGTACATAAGGCACAAAGGAGCTGCTTGACCCTACACCCATCTGAGCATCAACCCTGAAGACTCAGAGTAACCAGAAACACGAACATATTAAAAAAAAAAAAAACAGCAGTGGCTTAATCTCATGCCAGGGGCCACATCCAGCTCTTTACCCAAGTGAATGCACTCAGAGCTCCCAACAGCCCGGTGAAACAGGCAATGATATCTTAACTTCAAGCTCATAAAAACTTCATTTTCTTTCCTTAAGAAAACACACGTTACTATAAACGGGTCCATTTTTTGCACTGAACATCCTACACCCCCAACCCCAGGAACCAGGCAGAGCCAATCAAAAACCGAGACACACAAATCCAGGCAGTTACCCACCAAAAAACCTTCCACGCCAGCCGCGGCCTGGGGTCTCCCAGAACAAACCCCGCTGACAGATGCCAGGAGCCAATAAGCCCCTCCCTGGTCATTCTGCAGCGGCCTCGGTACTTAGCACCCATCCATCCCAAGCATTAGATGTTCCGCCCACAAATACTTACTGAGCGCCTATTACACACCAGACAGCGGGCTCTGGGCCACCAGAGGCCCCAGAGAACCGGGGCGGGGGGGGGGGGAGGGTAAGGCTGCCAGTTTCAGGAAAACCACATGCCCGAGTTCCTAGGGAAGACGCTCCGAGGCCGCCAGATCCGGTTAGAGCTCAATTCTCCAGGCCTACAGACTGTTACGTTTCCGGGGCCCGAGAGTCGCATGGGCTGGCGGCCGCCGTCCCGGGCAGCGCATAGGCCGCATCCATCCTGGCAGTAAGCCCCGTGCGGCTGAGTCTGACAGGCGGGCCTGATTCCCGCCTGGCCTCAGCACCTATCCTCGCGGACAAAACACGTAACCACCTGGAGGGCTGTCGCCCGGACAGCCCTAGTGTGCGCGCCATTAATGTTGTCCGTACTAACGCTCGGCCCAAAGACGGAGAGCCGCCTGCAGGCCAGGGAGCGTCATCTTTAAGGTTCTCATGAGCAGCCGCCAACTTCCGCCCACCTGCCCACCAATCACGAGCTCCCACCAATCATAGGCAACCTCCCAGAGTGGCACCCGCCAATCACAGGCACTTCCGCTTCGGGCGGCACTTCCCCTTCCGGCCTGATGCCGCACAAAGGCAGAAAGACCTTCGAGCACTCGAGGCAGAAAGAGAAGAAAGGAGAAGAGCGGCCCTGAAGCGGCGCGGCCCGCTACTTACTGTAGGAGTAGCTGCTCACTTCCGAGGCGAACGGAGAGTGGGCCGACTTGGGCTGGCCTCTGGCCTTGAAGCCCACCTCCATCTTCCTGGCTTTGGCGGCCCTTTTGTGTTTACCTTCTCGGGAAGCTTTCAGAGACAGGCTGAGGCCTTTGGCCAGCGCCTTCCTGTTCTTGCCCAGCAGGCTGTCGTAGGGCGTCAGGAACCTGCCGCAGCCCCCGCTCGGTTTTGATTTCCCCCCAGAACTGTCCGAGAACTTGAAGGGAGACTTCAACTTGTCCTGCTTTGTGAGGGAGAGGGCTTTGTCCAGCTTGCTTGCCAACTGCTCCTGGTCGCTGGCCATCTTCTTCTTCTTAATCTTTAGCTGGAAAGGGAAGTTGGGAAGTCCCTGGTTAAGACATTCAGCAAAACGGGACAGTGGGTCTCAGTACACAAGCTGAGGAACCCAGGCTCCTATCCTCCCTGCCTCTGGGGCTTCTGGCAAGTTGCTTTAACTCCTCTTTGCCTCAGTTCTTCTACTCTGCAAAATGGGGATAATTACGTACGGGCATCAGCAGGTTGTTCAGAGGATGAGCCCGGATAAGGCGCATGAGTCACCTATTAAATAGCTGTTACTGTGGTTACAGTTATCCGTGACACTTGGCGCTGTCTGGTGCTTCCTAGAGGAAGCACTTGAAGCAAGCAGCGCTGCCCATGAGCAGGAACTTGGCTGGATTAAGGGAGGAGGGACAGAACCAAGATGGAAAACCCAGATCACAGTGCAGCCGATCTGCTTATCTCAACCACCTAAAGCAGCTGATGAAGACAGCCGCACAGCCTAAATCAGCCCATCCAGCTCAGTGGGCTGAAGCTGCCAAGAAAATGCCTTGAGTGTGCCTCAGATGCCAAAGCAGAAAGAATGATTAGAGGTTTCACAGATAAATTCCTGCTTGTGCGTCTCTCGTCAGCTGTAGTAATTTGTTGTTGAAATACGCAGTTTTGAAGGCCCTCGTTTGAACATTTTATCTCTCTTTTCTTTAATCAGGTAACATTTCATACGGAGAGAAAAGTTGGAATAGTATCAATTAAATGACTAAAGTATCCATCACAATTCAAGAGCATAAAGGATCCTAATGGACAAACAGACTCTCTTCCCTCCCCCTGGATCCAGTCTCCCTCGTGTGAGTCCTTCCCTCGGACGGACAGCCCCCTCCCGCAGGGCTTACTGGGAGGATGAGACCGTATGTTAGTATTTAGTGACAAGGGCCTTAAGTGGATGATTTCAGTGCTCTGCAGATATAAGAAAAATCAAGGCGTTGGCTTTTACCCCTTTGCCTCAGGAGAGTTCACAGAGGAAATTACAATGACATCAAGCTCTTGTTTCTTAGAACTAAAGAATGGTTAAGCAGCTCATTAAACAATTATCCTGCTAAACAACGGAGTAATTGCATTATTTGGTTAAGAACTTGCAGTCTCTCTTCTTGGCTTCAGCAAAGGGTCACAGAGCACACACACAGGATGTGGCTTTCAGTCTCAGCTGCACCTAAGGCTGTCACTTCAGTAAGTCTCTGACCTGCCCTAAGCCTTAATTTCCCCCTCTGTACAGTGGGGAAGACTGGAGGAGAGTTGCTGTGGCCCTAAGGCAACCATCTCTATGGTTTCTATGCAGCAACAGGGCCAACAGACCTGCAAAGGTGGGGCGTGTCCTCCGGCATCCCCTCCAGACCTTCCACCCCGAGCTGGCAGCACACCCAGAAGACAGGATTACTGACCTGACTCATGAAGTCTGAAGAGGCTTCGTGCTCATCCCAAGGCTGGTTCCTCCCCCTAGCTTTCCCCGTTCCACTGAGGGCATCGTGGTCCTCCTCGGGCCCCTTATGTCTCTTCCTCATCCCCGCTCCCAGCTCGTAGTTGTCTGATGTCAGCAGGGGCTTGCTGCTCAGCCTGAAACCCAGATGCACCCTGTCAGCACCTCGGCCAGGTAGCACTCCAGGGCTGGGGGGGGGTCTGTCCTCGTGGCCCTGAAGGGTGGGCTCTGGATGTCGAAGCACAGACCGTGATGACAGAGTCACGAGTCTGGGAGGCGGAGCCTGTAAAACTATAGTGCCAGGATTCTATTTGTGAATGGGGCAGAATGAGAGTTTAATGGGAAAAAAGAACTTCTCCAAAGCAGTGTATCCTCTGCTGGCCTCTTTCTCTCATGCTCCTTCACACACACACTCATACACGTAGCTTTACGTGGTCGGATACGTCTGTACCCAAACATGCCAAGAACAAGGATCAGGAATGCCACAGAAATCCACCAGGACGGGAGGGGTACTAAGATCCAGCGCTTCTATGAAGGGAAGAGCCTCTGGCTGGTCTCCTGAACCCTGGGGAGCATAAGCAGTCGGGACACGGTCCTGGTTCGACGGCCTCTTCTGCCTGCTCTAAGCCAAATGCTGGTAAGTAGTGTAATAATAGTTAATTTTTACTTGGTGCTTACTACGTGTCTTGCTCCATGTCTGTGCTTTATATTTTAACTACAGAACAATGCTTTGTTCTGTATACTGCTTCTTTTGTAGATGAAGGAACTCAGGCTCAGGAAAGCTAACACCTGGCCCGAAGTCACAGTGAGAGGCAGCCTGGAACTCAAAAGCAGGAGGTGCGTGCCCACCTCTGGGGTCCATACTCCGAACCAGTGGTCCCCCTCCATGCTGGCAGCCCCAGCCTCTGCTCTCTTCTCCCTACCCTCCTGTGGCTGGTGGTGGGCTATTTCTTCCTCTTCCATCCTCTCCTCAGTCAGCATCCAAGAAGGTTAAATGCAAGATGTGGGAGCACTTGGGGCTGTCTTCTCCTGAGAAGACCTGTGGCCAACCCACTGCCTCTCCTGTGTCTTTGAAGGCGCCTGTGGGCCCCTCTGCTTCTTCAAGACAGGCACTGGGCCACAAAGCCAGCCCCTTCCCATAATGGGCCGGGTTCAGCCTGTGCTACCCCACCCCCGACACCAGCAGCATCGTTCCTATCCCCACCTGGCCTGGAGGAATAGCTCTCACTCCAGCCACATGTGGCTTCTGCTGCTCCCCAAGGAGCCTGTCCCCAGAGCACACAGAGGCAGTGGCCCAGGTCGCAGGGAGCAGGCTCAGGCACAGTGAGCCAGCAGGTGAGACCAGGAGAAAGAACAGGAGTGACACTGTCTGGCAGAGAGAACAGTGCAAGAGTGCAGGTGGGAGCCCGTCCCGGCAGGGCTGGCGGCTCAGTGCGGCCCTCATGGGAGGGGGTGCAGGGGGAAGCGTGGGGACGGGTCCCTAGCCTGGAGGAAGCAGGTGCAGCAAGAAGATGGGCCCAACGCCCGGGGGGCACACAACTCGCTCACCAGGGTAGGTCTGCCTGTCCGTATGCTCCACACTGGCCCGGCTCACCCTCCTGGCCTGCCTGGGGCAGCGCGCGCCGTGCTGCCCAAGAGCTGCTGATGCGGGTGGGTCAGAGCCCGAGGGACTCGAGGTCCCCGGCGCCGACACAGGCCCCGCGTGGGCCCGTGCTCCTCCCCTCCGAGCTCTGTGCCAGTCCCCGACCCACCGAGGGGCCAGCCTTACTTTCCGCTACTGATGCGGCTCTTCCCTCTCTTGCGGGGGGGCGACAGTGCGCTCAGGGCGTGGGTCCGTTTCCGCGGCCTGCCAGGGCCTCTGCGTGCCAAGCTTCTATGGGGTTCCTCGCGCCTGTCCCTTAAAGAGAATCACACGCTTGGCTGTGAACCTGGGGGGTGGCGGGGGCGCAGAGGAAGGACACACGGCGCGCACATGTCACTCGGGGCCACGCACACCTCTGATGGCCTGCCTCGGTCGACCTACTGAGCGCCAGCGCCTATGAGAGCCCGGCCAAGGCACAACCTGCCACCGCCTGGTCGCCCGGCCAGCCTGCAGGGTGCACACTCACTCGGAATCACGGCGTCTCTGCAGCTTCACCAGCTCCCGCTGCTTCTCCTTGTACTGCCGCTGGACCTCTGCCAGCCGCATCCGGAAGTCCAGCTCCATGGCGTCCATGTTCTCCAAGGATGACTTCATAGCGTACATCTGTGGGGAAAGGCAGGGTGAGGATGCTGCTGCCCACGAGCTCCCACCACCTGGCTGGGCACCTGCTCTCTGTCCAAGACGGTGAGACCTCACAATGTGGACTGGAGGCCCAGGTCACACTCCATTTCTGCCACTCACTAGCCATGGCCCTAAGCAAACCAGACTCCTCATCTGCATGACAGGGACTGGAAGGCCAACTTTGCAGGGCTGTGTCAAGGCCGAATCAGCCCGAGACAACTGCTCAGGTAGAGCTGGCCATCGAATCATCTGTCACTTACAGACAGAGGCTCAGAGAGGTAAAGCCACTTGTCCAAGGCTTATAGGCAGCAAGGAGCACAGCCAGGTCTGCTCTTCCTGATCCCAAGGGACACACTCAACACGTTATTACATGATAAACTGAGGCCCAGGAAGGAAGCAGTGTGCCAAGGACCACCCAGTAAGTTGGTGGTAGAAGCTGGATGCAGAACCGGCCCTTGGGAACCCAAAGCCTGCAGTGGCCCCAGCAAGATGGCATCTGTAGGGGGACCCCCCCCAACCCTGTTCCACAGGCCGGGCCCAGGACACCTCACCCGCTCGTCTTTCTTCTGCATCCAGCTGTACTTCTTGTTGGGGTTCAGCTCCCGTGGAAGCCGCAGGTTCTTGAGTGGATCCACAAATGGGCCGTCCAGCACTTCCTTCAGCATGTGGCTGCTGGCCGCCAGCAGGCTCTCCAGTGAGGGCCGCACCACCAGGCCCCGCTCTGCACCTGCAGGCAGGAGGCAGGTGAGCCTGTGCTCCCCTGTGGGAGGGGGCAGGACTCACGGGCATTGTAGCCTCAGACCCCAAACAGGGAAGAGGATGAGGCCCAGAGAGAGCTCATGGTTGGCCCAAGGCCACATGGCCCCCGAGATGCTGACAGACCATGGACTTTTCCCAGATCCAGGAAATAGCGCTGAGAACAGGTAGGGGTCCTGTCCTTCCCAATGTCTGTGCACAGAATGCGCAGCAAGCCACCAAAGGCCAGCAGAGATGTGTTCCAACAGTGCGGCTCTTTCTGCTCATCTGTCTTTAAAATCTTTCATGACGAACATGCATGGCTTTCATAATCAGAGAAAAAGAGCCCCAAATTAAGTTTTGTAAATGGTCAAAGTAACATGCACACAAACTAACCCACAAACCAAGCAGAAAGGTGTGATGAAACAAAAACCTTCCTCCTCACTAACACACAGGTCCCTCCCTGGAGAGGCTGTTGCTGACAGTTTCTGGAAGATGGTTCTAGAAACATTATACATATTCAAACATACATAATGTACCCAGGCATCCTTTATAAATGTAAAAATGGCCTCAGTCAGTACATACCATGTCACGCTTTGCTTTTTTTCTACTTAACATCTTTTCACATTAGCACAGAAATACAAATGCATATTCATATTATAGCTCAAACTTTAAAAAAACTGCCATTTCTGTAGGTCATAAACAGAGCATCAGCACTTCTATTTGGCCAAACTGAGGGACAGCAGCCTGAATTCCTCTCGTGTGTTTTGGTTTCTCTAATGACCCCCCCGCCCCGTGAACGGCATTCAGGTTGTTTCTGATTTTTTTTTTTTTTGTAGTGAATGGATAGGCGCACAGCCTGGACTGAAGTGTCAGGAAGACTACCCATGCAATTAATGTGGTCAAGGTGTGTGTGCTCATCTCTGATAAATGTCCCAGCCGCCTTCCAGAAAGGCTGCACCAGCTTAGAATCTCAACAGTCGTACCTAGGAGCCTATTTCTCTACAATCTTTCTACCCAAGTAACATGAGTTTTCATTTACTTGTTTTATTTATGATCTAATATGTGACTAATTTTTGTGAATGTTCCACGTGCGCTTGACGGGAAAAAAATGTATTCTTTACTCTCAACGTGTAAAGTTCCATAAAATCGGCTTCAATAATTGTATCGCTCAGATCAGGGCTTCTGAACCGAGGCGCTGTTCACACCGTGGGCAGGTACTCTGCCGTAGGGCGGCTGTCCCGGGCGTGGTGCAGGGTATTCAGCAGGGTCCCCTGCCTTTACCCACTAGATGTCAGTAGTACTCCCCTCAAGCTGTCACAACCAAGGGTCACTGGTGGCCAACTGAGTCACTGGCTCTGCTCCTCCACGTCTTACACAGAGGTCGCTAAGCGGTGAACCACATCAGCTCCCAGGGGCTGGCACTAGACAAGCATGTGGCCCACCCCAAAGTGACACCAGCCCACCCTGCCCGCTGCAAGGTCCTCCACGCTGTAAGATGTGCAGTTGCTGGGTAAGGCTGGGTAAGACCTGCTCTGTCACAGAGGGGACCGAAGAGGGCCTCCGTCACCGCCTTCACCCTCTAACAAACCAGCTTTGCCGAGGCGCTCATGACCGAAAGCCCAGGGCGGCCCGATGACGCGAGGCCAGCAGCTATGGGCTGAATCATTTGCCCCCAAATCCATGCACTGAAGTCCCAACCCTGGACCTCAGAACGCAGAGTCTTTAAGTGGTAATCAAGTTAAAGAGAGGTCTTGAGGGTGGGCCCCAACCCAACACAACTGTGTCCTTATAAAAAGGGGACATCTGGATTCAGAGACACGCATAGGGGAAGACCATGTGACCACACAGGGAGATGCTGTCAGCGAGCGAGCCAGCCAAGAAGAGAGGCCTCAGCAGGAACTAGCCCAACCCTGCTGACACCTTGATCTTCAACTTTCAGCCTCCAGAAGTGTGAGGCCATACACTTCTGTTATCCAAGACCCAGCCCCACCCACCACATCTGCAATATTTGTTACAGCAGCCCGAGCTGACTAGTACAACAACCTTGTGGCTTTACCAGTGACCTCGGAACAGAAGCCAGACATGCACTGGAACCCCCGTGGGACCAGCATCAGTCACAGAGGCCCCGGCACACCCGGGACAGCCTAGTTCACTGACTGTGAGCAGTGCGTGGGGCAGGGTGGGGAAAGCGGGAGGCCAGTGGCTCCAGGAAGTGGGTGGGCCCTGGGAAAAGCTCTAACACAGCCCAGGCGCCTGGGGCCTGCTGTGCGACCCGGGACTACTCACTGCCCGGCTCTGAACAGAAGCTGCAGGGGACCGATGCTCCGTCAGCAACTACGTGAAGGGAACAGGGCCACCAGGGCCTCGCCTGTGTGGTTCACACACCCCTGCACACCGGTGCCTCCAAGGGCATTTTGCAGCCCTAGCTCGGCCCCCAGCCCAGGGTCACAGATCCAGCGCTGGGCCAGCATGCCTCCATGGCACAGCACTGAAGGGCATCGCGAACACCCATGTCTGCACCGACTGCTGGGTTCCCCCAGACCTGCCCCTCCCACCACTTCCCCAGCTCCCAAGTGGGCGGTGATTCCAGGCATCCGGCAGCTCAGGCCAAAAACCTTGGAACTGTCCTTTCACACCTACACTTAGTACATCAGCAACACCGGCTGGCTCTACCTGAACTTCCACCCAGAATCAACTATCCTCACCTGCGTGCCCCCAATCCCTCGGCCTGGGGCTCCGCGCCTCCGCCCCTGCTCCTGCAACAGCTCTCCACGCAGCCCCCAAACACCGCAGTTAAGTCTGAGCCCATCACTCCAATTCAAAACCATCTTCCAGCAGCTTCTCCATTTCACTCCAAGTGAAAGACCCCACTGGGATCGCCCACCCAGGTTACCCTGCAGACCTCCTTGCCCCTACTCCCCACTCCTACTCCACTCCAGCTCCTGGCCCCCTTGCCTCTGTTCTAACATAACACAACCGTCACCTCAGGGCCTTTGCACTTGCTGTTTCTTGGGCCTGGCATGATTTTCCCCAGAAGAATCCTCCTCCCCCGCCTGTAAAAGGGGCTTCCCTGGCCATCCCCCATAGAAGACCACCCTTCCCACCTCTGCCCTGTCCCATTCCCAGGGTTTCTGCCTGACCCCAGTCACCACTTGACAATTCTGGGCACACAGCGGGATCTTAACAAGTACTCGGTGAACAAGGCAGGAGTGTGAAAAAGAGGCAAGAGTGAGCAGCAGCCTCGAACCGCGTGACCCATCCTCAGCGCCCACCTTCCCAGTCACCCCTGCCTCTGTGGTCCCCACTGAAAACGCACCAGTTCGTTTGATCAAGAGGGTTTTCACTTTCTTCTGGAAAAAAAATTTTTTTGTGTGCCAAACTATTTAAATGAGAGAAAATAAATAGCTTTAGAACACCAGAACAACAGACGCCTGCGGGGGAGTGGGCGGTACTTGTCCAAGCTTCCTGGAAGCGGGACATCTGACCATGACGGCGAAAAAGCCTCAGAACTATGGCCTTGTTCTGACCCAGCAGTTCCACCCCCGGGGAATAAGTCCCCGGGAAAACCAGGTGTGGACAAAGATTTCTCTTCAAGAGTAATCATCACATTATTTACAACAGTAAGAAAGAGCCTGGTGTAGGGCTGTAGCCATGTGCAGGGACCCGATGGGGTGGCTGCGGTGGCTGTGGGGCCGACGAGAAACTGCTAAAGTTCCTGTGGACACAAAGTCGAATTTTATAAGAACATGATGGATGGAGAAGAGAAAACCTATGGTGGCTGCGAAGGCCTGATGCCATGTATCTTAAATTGGTATCTTTGGATGGTCATGAATTTATTGTAAAAAGAGAACATGCACTAACACCAGAACGATACAGGCCATGTTGAGTGGCCCAGGTCAGTTTGCTGAGAATGAAACTCATGAAGTCAGTTTTATAGAGCGATCCCTTCACATGTGCTATCAAAAATATGCATGTATTTTACCTACAGGGTTCAGGATACTAACAGCTCCACGGAAAGTCCTGAGTTCCCAATTGCACCTGAAAATTGTACTGGAACTGCTGATGGCTGCAAACTTCCTAGATTGTTAAATAAAATAAATTATAATAAACTGTTAACTTTTTTCAGTATTTTAAAAAAAAATTAAAGAAAAAAGGTAAGGGAGGCAAATTAAAATGCCCAACAATCTGAGGTTGGGTCTTTGAAAGCCAGGGCCTCCACCAGGCAGATAACTGGGCAGTCCCTAAGAAAAATCTTTAATAACATACAGCTTTGAAAAACATTTCATAAAGGATATATACTAAGTGAAAAAGGCAGGTTACAGAACACTGTTTACAAAATGATCTTAATTTTAGAAATGCATGCCGCGTGTGGAAAAGCTCTGGAGGAGATACACCAAAACACCTGGCACTGCTGTTATCTCCTTGACAGCTGTCGCCCGGGCATCTCCTCTGTGCCGGTTCTGGGCGGAGCATGGCCTGCTGGCACAGCCTCTTCATACATTTCTTGGCGCACCTCAATTTCCTATGTTGAACATGAGTGGTTTTTTTGTTTCTGTTTTTCGCAGGGTGCAGGTAATTAGGTTTATTGACTTATTTATTTATTTTAATGGAGTAACTGGGGATTGAACCCAAGACCGTGCGCATGCTAGGCACTCACTCTACACTGAGCTATACCCTCCCCCCATGAACATCAGTGGTTTTGTGCCAGCCCAGAATTCACTGCTCATTCTGCTGAAGACTTCCCACTCCTTCTGAGAACCGCCCCTTCCTACATGCCAGAGGTGACTGCCCACCCCCCATCTAGGGCTGGGCATGATCAGCCTGGTGCATCCCATCTCCCAGGCCACAGGGTTTGCTTCTCCCAGTCAGCCAATGAAAGTGACTCACAGAATCTTTGTCAGAGCCACCAGGAAGGAAGTAGCCTCTTCTGTGTGTCCACCGAGCTGAGCAGGCCCGTGGGTCTGGGAAGAAGTTATCAGTGACCCCCCCAACAACAGTGGGCCTGCCTTGAATGAAGCCAGCCGAAGGAAATGAAGCAAGGGGTGGGAGGGGACAGCGGAGAGGGAAAACCAACTCCTGATGACTCGGTTTTAGCACCTGGATCCAGCCATACCTGAAACTAATTACCAAATCACTGACATACTTCGGTTCCACAAGCCAATAAACTTCCTCTGCCCTTTTCTAAGCTAGTCAAAGTGAGAGTTTCAGTCCCTCGCAATCCAAAGCATCCTGCTCCTAGAAAACTCACCACTGACAGAGGAAAATTTTCACCACTAAGAAACCCACAGACTGGTTGCACAACGTGACTGCATCTAACACCACTGCACTTAAAAAGACAGTTAAAATAGTATAGTATACCATTTTTCTTTAAAAAGTGAGTATGAATAAACCATAGTCTAAAAATTTTGAAATTGAAAAATCTTATTAAAGCTTTTTGGAAAAAAAAAGGGAAAAAGTCCCCCACAGAAACCCCCCGCCCAGCTCAGCATGGCTCACCTGACACCTCCTGGCTCCGCTTCTCCAGCTCCAGCTCAGCGATCTCACTCAGCAGGGTGATGCCATGCAGGAAGCTCTGCTCAAGGACCAGGCTCTGGGCCGCCTCCAGCTTCTCCAGGGCCTGGGCTCCAGTGCCCGGGGAGGGCAGGGGCCTGGCCTGGGGCAGCTCTGCCGCCGCCGCCAGGGCATTCATGCCGGCCAGGGGGTCCTCCAGGGTGGGCAGGAACTGGTCAGAGCCTGCCTCCTCCAGGAAGCAGGTGCTGCTTGGCACAGGTGTGGCCTCCCGGGCCTCCAGGCTCAAGCACTCTCCCTCCTCGGCTGGCACATCACAGTCCGGTGGTTCCAAGCTGGGCCGGGGCTCGCTTGGGGCCACCTGGGCCAGGTCTTCCTCGGGTACCGCCTCTGCCATGGGCACAGCCATGGGCACATCAACGGGCACCTCCACTGGCTCCTCCTTGGCCTCCACCAGCGTCTCAGGCGTCAGCCGCCCCCCCAGGTCCGGGGCAGCTGCACAGGATTCTGTCCGGCCCGGGGAATCAACACACGCCTCAGGCCCCTCCGCAAAGTCTGGGCACCCGGAGGGCTCCGTGGGCCCCTGGCTGCCGGCACTCAGCACCTGGGCCTCCAGCAGGCCACCGCCACAGCTGTCCACCGGGCTCGGGGCTGCCAGAGCTTCCTCGGGGGGCAGGGTCAGCGGGGACTCCAGGGAGGGCAGCTCTGCAGGGCCTTCGTCCATGTCCTCCACCTCCGCCTTCACCTCCCGGTCCACCAGCGGCTCTTCGTCCGGGACCTCCTGCAGCGGCTCTGGGATCTTGGAGGGGGACAAGCGTATGGGCTTGTCTTCAGGCGAGAGCGCCAGGCGCTCAGGCCCATCAGCCGGCAGTGGCACGTCAGGGGCCAGGCCATCGGCATCGGCGGCTGCTGTGGGCTGCAGCAGGAATGGGTAGGGCCTCCCGTAGTGTGGCGGCAGGGCTTGAAACGGGTACCTGGGTGGGATATCTGCCAAGGACACTGAGGGTCAGTGGGGGCCCCTTCTCCTGCCACATCTGACATCCCCCGTGTCCCCATCAACACCCACCTACCAGCCAACCCTCTCTGCTCGGCCGGCCTGCAGAGGTGGATCCCTTCCAGACAGGATCTGAGGAACCCCAGAGCCCTTCTGCACGGCTGGGCCACAGAAAAGTCGGCCACCATCCACATCCTGTCTCCGAGGGTCTTCAGTGGTCTCAGAGGCAGAAACCTCCGTTGGCTCTTTCTTGAGTCCCTCCCGCCTCAGCACCCAGCACAAGGCAGGACCAGAAGCAAATGTTTAGTAAGACCCCAAACGGTCCCAGTGTATGCCATCTTTGGCCTCCACCCCACCCCATTAAAGCAGAGTTGGGGGATTCAAGTTGTTCAAAAAATGATAGTAATACTGTAACTGAGCAGGACCCTAAGGGACCTTCCCGCCACAGACCACCCCCCCATATCCTCTGCTTTAGCTCCTCTCTGAGGGACACAGGTAACAGTATCTAATGTGTATTTCTTGAGTTTTTCAGATGCTAAAACCACTACCAAATGGAAGACATTAACTATGCCATGATCATGAGCATGTGACCTTCTGGCACCTAAGGACTGGTAACATTAACACTCTGTTAGCTCACCACGAGCCAATCAGAGAACCATGCCGGAGCTGCTCACAGACCCTGGGATGCCCCTCCCTCACCTCGCCTTTAAAAAGGCTTCACTGAAACCCTTCAAGGACTTCAAGGGGTTTGAGAGGCATAAGCCACCCGTTCTCCTTGACCAGTCCTGCAATAAACCTTTCTCTGCTCCAAACTCTGCGCTTTCAGTTTGCTTGGCCTCACTGTGCACTGGGCATATGAACTTGCGTTCAGTAATGATCCAGTGTGGCCTCCCCTCCCCTACTTTTCCCCACCCTGGAGGGTAACCTCCCTGAAAGCAGGATGGGGTGCAGCTGCCTTTCTGCAGTGTTCCCAGGCCCTGCCCAGAGCTGGGCAAGCAGCAGGTGACTGGGGGAGCCAGAGGCACAGAGCGCCCCAACCCTGCACCAGGGCCGGGCACGTGCCCCACATGTGACCTGAGCAGCAAGACATCTAATCTCCCCAGAGGGGTAGCCCCTTGGCCTTGATCACACACAGCATTCTGGTGGCAGAAGTCTGAATTTTGGAATTCGAACTCAAGTCCTCCCACAGGAAGAGGCACCCAAGCCTCCGGCCCCACCAAGGCCGCCTGCTGCACGTCCCTGCCGACACAGGGCAGGGCAGAGGGGTGTGCACCCAGCACATGGGGTGGGGATCCGACGCAGAATGGGCGTCCCTACACTATCATCATCAACGTGACAACTGAGCACCTACTACACGCCAGGCACGGAGATGAATATCCTGCAGGCCTTACTTTGTTTAATGCTCAGCTCAGGTCCTTCTGAAGTAGGTTCTAACATCACGCCCATTTCCCCTGCCCCTCCTACTGAGGGAAGGCTGGAAAAGGATTATGTCTGACTGTGTGCTCAGGTATCTATCCCAGAGCACAGCTGTGGGCCACATACATAGTAGGTGCTCAACAGAGAAGGGAAAGACGAGTTGAGTCAAAGAATAAATGAATGAACAGATGGAGGCTCCATTTCACCAGCTCCTACCTGAGAACAAGGCCTGGAAGGGGCTGGGGGCTTCCTTCTCCAATTCTAAGTCCTTCTTCTCCACAACGTTCTCGGGGGCCTCTTCCTTGCGGGTGATGCCAGGGGTGGGCGGCGGGGAGGCTGGCGGTGGGCTGGTGGGGTGGGAGCTGGGCGTGGCGGGGTAGGCGTAGGTGGGCGGTTTGGACACATCCTCCAGCTTCTGGATGACCTTAGCCTTCAGGGCAGCCACAGGGGACGCACGGGGAGATGGCGGTGGGCTCATGGCCTTGCCATAGGTGCCTGCAGGGCCGGCAGCCAGGCCAGGGGGCTTCCGAGGCAGCAGCCCAGGGCCCGTGGTGGCCAGGCCAGCCTTGCCCGAGGCCTCCAGGCTCCGCTTGCTCACCTTCTCCTCCATCTCCACCCGCTGCTCCTGGGCCTTCAGCCGCTCCTGCTGGGGAAGGGGCCAGCAGGCAGGGTCAGCGCAGCAGGACCCATCACCCAGCACCTGCCCTGCCCTCAGGGCCCCCTGAGCCCACAGGACAGAGAACCTCAGACGGGCTGCAGGCTGCCCACCTCCCAGACATTCCATCACAGCACGCATAACAAGCACAGCATTCCCTGTAGAATTCCAGCAGACGGGCTGGGGGCGCCGCCGGTCCAGGCCCTGGCCCCGCTGGGACCTCACAGTCAGGTGGAGACATGAGGCTCCTGAGGACAAGGGACCTGCCCACTGCCCGGCTCCTCCATGGTGTCATGACACTACCTGCACAGAGAACTCCCTGCCTGTGAGCACTCTCCTGTCTTACCATATTTGGGTCTCCAAACACCTCAAGGTGGGCGGGGGGAGCCTTTTCTCATCTTTGATGACTTGGGGAAATGGAAGGAAGCCAGCTCTAAAACAGCCATGCTCCCTGGAGGCCAGGCAGTCAGCACACAAACACACTGAGAAGAAAGGCTCCAAGCCCCAGCCACTCTCACAATTGTTCAGTCTCACTGAACAACTTGATGACACAGGAATTACTAGCCTCTCTGTTTCCAGAGGAAACCTGAAGCCCAGAGAGATGAATTCACTTGCCCAAGGGCACACAGCCAGGTGTGGCAGAACTAAGGTTCAAACCCAGGATGCCATGTGCTGAGTGTGTCACCTCTGCTGACTCCTCCAGAGTGAGTGCCACACAAGAAAGAAGGGACAAGGCCAAGGAGAGGACAAATGTCAGGGAACACCTTCAAGGAGGCTGGAGGGCCAGAGGCTTTAGGGAGTCCACCCACACAGGGGGACCCTTAATGCCACCTATCTTATGGGATCAGGCCATGTGGCTGGAGGCCAGTCCCAGCCTGAGAGGGGAGCCCAGGGCCATCAAGTGTCCAGCCAGGCCAGGCTGGGCTCAAGAAACAGCAGGAGCCCACTGGGATCCCTTCAGCTCCAATGCAAACATTTCCAGTCCACAAGGCCACCTCTCCTGCCTTGGTTTCCCCATTGCTCCCGGCAAACTGCCCCTGCCAAGCTCTGTTCACCTTTCAGCCTTGCTCACACCGTCCCCTCTCCACAGAGGACTCCTCCACAACTAACTTCTTTAGGTCTCTGGGCAGACATCACCTCCTCCAGGAGGCCCTCCCTGACCACCAGCCTCTCTAGACTTTTCTCCCTCAAGGTCCATAACTGGACTTTCTGCTGGCTGACCCCTCTGCCTCCCCATCAAAGAGGGGCTCCGGGAGGGGTCTCTACTGCCCCCACGCCAACTCACCACCAGCTGGGCACTCCTCTGCAGTTCCAGGGCCTGGGCCGCCTGCTGCTGCAGGTACAGGAACTCCTGCTGCCGCAAGAAGTGCTGCTGGGAAAAGAGCTGCAGCTGCTGGGCATGGTGCAGGGAGCTGCGGCCCGGCGGGTACAGGGCAGGCCAGAGCGGCGGCACCGCGGCCCGCTCCATCAGCTCCGCTGGGGGCGAGAAAGACGGTGAGGCTGCACCTACCGCCTGATGCCCGCTCTACAGATGGGAACGCCGGAGCTCCGGGATGGAACATTAGTTCACACTGTGGTGGAGCTGGGCTTAGCTGGGCCCCTGCTTGCTTCCTGGGCACCAGGAGGCCTATCCTCCCTACACCACGGGCAGACGCGTCCTAGGCCCAGGGCACACGGGTCCTGTCCACACCCCATGTGGGATGTCCCTGAGGCTGCGGCTGGAGTGTGCCGACGTGGGTCCTCCTCCTCCTCCTCCCACTACACCCAGTGGTCTGCCACGTGAATTCCTAAGGGGTGGGGGCAACAAGGCAGGGGACCGGGCCCTCCACTCGGCCAGCCCCACTCTGCTTCTCCATGTAAGCTCTCTGGGTAGGGACTCACCCAAAACAAGGACCCCTGTGGCTTTATGACACACCCACCCTGTTCTGCTAAGTGGACTCCCCCGCCAACCACACAGGAGGCCCATGATGTTTGGGACAGTTGTGCTAGGCAAGGCCATCACAGCCCCTGCCCCCCACCACGGGGCTGCCACTTACCAAAGTGAGGCAAGTGATCGCTGGGAATGACCACCAGCTGGCCCGACTGGGGGTCCCTGACGAACTGGTAGGCCGACGGCAGGGAGCCCCCCAGACCGGGTGGGAAGGCAGGCGCCATGCCCTGGTGCAGAGACGGGGGGCCCAAGCCTAGGAAAGACGCAGGCCTAAGTCAGCGCTGGGGGCCCAAGCCCAGCCCCTACCCCACCCACTCCTCAGTGCCCCTCTCTTGGGGCTCCAAGCAGGAAGTCGAGGACTAGGGCAGCCTGATTGTGAACATGCCCACAGCCACCCCCTCCTGGGCACTGCACACCAGTAGGCTTGGCAGAGGAACCCCATCGGGTTGGTGCCATTATGACCCTGCTGGGACAGTGAAGGAGGGAGCTGGACTGTGGGGACAAGAGGAGTCCCATCCCTGCCCCAGCCACCAGCGCTGCCCTCCAGCAAGGACCACATCAGCCCACCCACCACCCTGCCCTCCCACCAGATAAGGGAGAAGTCACCCCACACTCACCATAGGGGTGTCCAGCCAGCCACATGGAGGTGCTGCCTGAGCGGGGCAGCCAGGGGTGTGTGGCCAGATGGGCTGCAGGGTCGGCAGACCAGCGACCCGAGCCCCCCAGAGCCGGACCCCCAGTCACCATGAGGTTAGGGTTCAGGCCATTAGCAGCACAGCTGGTGGGGTGCAGGCGGGCCAGGTCGGCCAGCTCCTTACTTTCTCTGGAAGGGGAACAGAGGCGTTGGTGACAGCCCGGACGGCCCCAGGGATGGGTGAGAGAGAAGGGGTAGCACCTCAAGTAAAAGGGGGACGCCAGGGCACTGCTGGGACAAGCCAGCGCCAGAGTACAGATGAGCCAGGCCCTGGGCCTTCCTCCGGGGTCCCTCCCACACTCACTGGAGACGAGCTGGGGCTCCCACTCTCGGGACCACCAGCCAATCCACCCTCGCCCCAGGGGCTCCCAGACCCCCAGGCTCCCGGGCTGCCCCCAAGCCCTCACCTGAGCAGCTTCTCCTGGTCCCGGTCCAGCCGTGCCCCCAGCAGCCGCTCCTCCCGCTGCCTGGCCCGCTCATCCCCACAGCCCTCGTCGGCCCGGCCGTGCCCTGAGTGGAGCAGGCAGAGAGTGAGCCCCGCTCAGAGCCCCGGCAAGCCCTCAGTGTCCGAGCTGCTCCCTTACCCTGGCCAGATGTCCTCTTGTGCAGAATCGTCCCTCCACCACCCCCGAAAGAGCCCACTGTAACCCGCACAGGTAACCGGGATGCTGTACTAAAGCATCGTAAAACAGATCACGGAATAACACGCTATGAACCCAATGGTATTTACTGACATTGTTTTACTAGCTTAACGCCAGAAAGGCAGGCTGTAGGGGGCGGGTCAAGATGGAGGGAAAACCACAACCCAAAAAAGCAGTCACCATTCAAAAGTACCGCCAGAGCCCGGTTGGGGGGGGCGGGTCAGCCCCCACCACCGAGGCCCTGTCATGGTTCTGCCGCAGACACGTGGTTAATCTCAAAATCAAGACAGAAAAATGAAACCAGAGAACACTATCCACGTTGGGGAGAGTGGAGGATGTGGGAGCTGCCAGCCTGCCCTGCCCCTGTCACCTGTCCCTGCCCCGGTGCCCAGGGGGTGCCCCCCCTCTGTGGCTGGTCCAGCTGCACCATCCATGAGCTCCCCACCTGCCCCAGAGCAAAGAAGGCAGGTCCGAGTCCCAGCTAGGCATACAGCCGGCTCTACACAGACAGGAGCCCAGGGCCCCCACATCTGTCCCTCATCACCCTGCCACCTGCTCCAGTCCCTGCCTAGCCCCTCTTCCTGGGCGTCTTCTACACCATGAGCCATAAATCAGCACACGTGTGGCAGCCCCGGGCAGGCCAGGGCCCAGGAGGCATAGCCACCAGCAGCAGAGGCCACTCAGGGTGCAGCTGAGACTTTTCTCAAAAGAGAAACCCGCTGAGGCTGGACTAACTACTTCTCTCAGGGTCAGCCGCCCTCAGGCAGGTGTCCGCCCGCCTGGGTCTTGGGAGGTGGGCCCAGGGAGGAGGCCGCCCCCAGCCCCCATGGCACATAGACTTTATCAGTTATTACTCTGCTGGAGACAAATGTCACCAGGGGTCCACCAGCAGCCCCCACACTCATGGCCCTCGTGGGTAGGAACCTAACTTGGGATGCTGCCTTGGCCATCTCCCCCTCACTTCTCTCCCACTGTACCCCCAAAGAACAGAGCCTCGAGGAGAGGCTCAGGGACACGAAGACATCTGCTTCCCCTTCAGGGAGGTGGGAACCCACTGGCCCTGGAATACAGGAGAGGAGCCTGCAGGGAGGGTACAACCATGCAAGCCCACGTGCCCGATGGCCCAAGCATGCGTGGGCACAGCCTAGCATCAGGGAGGGGGCGCACCCCGAGAAGCAGCTGGAGATGGGCTGGGGGGGCCACCTGGGGCTGGTCTGGATGTTCCAGAGGTGGCCGGGACAACAGGGAAGCAGTGCACGTGGTGAAGCAGAGAAAAGTCAGAGCTGGGACACGGGGAGCAGAGGGGAGCAGGCAGGAGTGAGGGTAGGCAACGAAGGCTTCCCGACGTGGCCCCTGTGGGTCACAGAGGTTCATCCCTGGTCTCCTGCTAAGTCACCTCATGCCGGCCCTAGTCAGTGAAGGCACTGAGCAGACTCCATGTCAGTGCCAGTGCCAAGTCACCACTACTGTTTCCGGCACATGGCAGGAGGTAAAGGAAGAAGGGGAAAGACTGGCGGTGGGAAAGCAAGGCTGGGCCAACTCAGGGGGAGGCCCCGGCAGGGAGCCCTGGCCTCCAGTGTCAGCCTTGTTCCCAAATCAAAGAGGATCCTGAGCCCACCTGCCCCCTTCACAAAGGACTGGAAGGGTCCCTGCATACGGACCCCCACCCAGGAATGAGGCCCCAAAGGGCAGCCAGGCTTTTGATCAGGGCCACCCAGGAGTTCTCCAGCTGGACTGGAAAACCAGGCCATGTGCCCAAGGTTCCTTCCCCTGGAAGGGATGTCCTCCCAGGCATACAGAAACCCCAAGGGTCCTCAGACCCTCTGGGCCACCCTGCAGTGTGGGACAGGCTTTGGCACGGAGCTCCTGGTGTCTCCAAGAGGGACAAGTGCCTGGAGCGTAGCCTGCCCCAAAGACCTCTGTCCTCCAGCCTGACACCTCTCCACTGCCCTGACTGTCACCACACAGGCTCTCAGGGGCTTCCCACCCCAAACCCCACCTGCACCAGAAACCCGCATGCAGGTCCGCCCATCTTGGAGCACCCACCATCCCCAGGGTCACTCAGGCCAGAGCCCCAGACCGCTCTCTCCAAATTCAGTTGGTCTCTGAAGAAATGTGACATGCCCTCCACATCTCACCCCCAGGCTGCACCCTCATCCTCCTGAGTCAACCTGTTCCCTCTTAGCTCTGCTCAAACCTGTCCCTCCCACAGAGTGCCTGCTCCATGAAGCCAAAGCCCTGCATGCCCCTGAACATGGCTCATGCCACCAAGCCATCCACTCTAGCGTACCCCCAGCCTGCCTGCCTTCCAGTCATACCCAGGGCCACACACACTGTTCCCTCCACCCAGAATGCCCTTCCTCTACACTATTCAGCCACCCTTGAGTTCAACCCAAATGCCACTTCCTCCAGGAAGCCCTCCCTGACCACCTCTCCATCATGATCCCTTATTTGTCTCCCTCACAGCACTGAGCACAACACAGAGCCATTTTGCTTGTTAGTTGGTCACCATCTGTCTCCTCCGTCAGATCGTGTGTTAGTCTGGTTTGAGCAGAACCTCCATGGCTGTCCACCTCTACCCTACACAATGCCTGACACAGAGGAAGCTGCTCAATAAATATGCAGGGAGTGAATGAATGAATTTACAAGAATATCCTCAGGAAGAGTGAGCTAAGCAGAGAGCACAAACAGCACATGCAAAGGCCCTGAGGCAGGAGTGTGCCAAGGAGCATCTAGAAGGCCAGGTGCAGGGGAGAGAGGGTGCAGATGAAGGCTGGGGAGCAGACCGCAGGGCCTTGTAAGCCGTGTGAGGGAATGTGACTGAGATTTCACTGCAGGTGAAAGGAGAAGCCAGAGGAGGCTCTGAGCAGGGATGAGACATGCTCAGATCTTCCTCCCAACTGAGGCTTTGAAACCCTCCCTCCCTCCGGCCACCTGTGGCCGAGTGAACCAGAGGGCCCACCACCTCTCTGTGTGAGCGCCAGGCAGGCACGGAACCAGCTCCTCCAGGAGGCAGGCGGATGGGCAGAGGGGCACCTGCTCTGGGGTCCCGAAGACACAAGACCCCTCCCCCACCAGCCCTTGAGGCATGAGCTCTGGAGACATCTGGCTTTTTTTTTAATTTTAGGTACTTTTTTGGTGGAAGGTAGTTAAGTTTGTTGCTTTATTTATTTATTTTTAATGGTGGTACCAGGGATTGAATCCAGGACCTCAACCATGCTAAGCACATGCTCTACCGCTGAGCTACACCTTCCCCCACCCCAACCCCAACTTCTGGCATTTTAAAGCTGCCTCTGTGTCCAGCAGGGTCTTAGGCCCTCTCCAGGCGTGCACTCATCCAGTGGCATAAACCCAGGAGGTGCGGCTCAGCCATCATCCCATCCCAGGTGAGGAATCGGAGATCAGACCACTGATTGGCAGGGAGGTGTCACGCTGGCATCGGGGTCTAAGGGGGTCTTCCTGACCACTGGGGTGCAAGTGCCCCCACAGAGAGCCGCAGGGTGGGCAATCTGCAACCCTGCAGTGACGGCCCCTCTATGGGTCACACACTCTAATCCTGGCAGTAACAGCCAAGGCTCTAGCTATGGCCCAGTTCCCATGGCAACCCCCTGCCGGCTCCATCTGAGGTTTTCAGCAGTTAGGGCAGCCACCACCTCCAGCCCACTCAGTGCTCTCTAGAGTCGGTGGTCAACACCACTGATTACACCCAACACAACCCCAGCTCTGCCAAGCATAATGGGTGGGGGTGGGGGAACCCGTCACTGCCCCTCCCCCCCAGATCTGGCCCCCAACTTGCCTCTACCACAGAGGTGACGACGGGCAAGGAGAAGAGATGGGAGGCACAGGCCTGGGCTTAGGGTTCAAGCTCAGCCCACCTCTTCTAGCCAGGTGACCCCTGGCGAGGCACTGCAACCCCGCAGACCCGGCTCTCCCAGCTGTGAAGCTGGAAGAATAACAGATCCTCCTTGGAGGGGCTCCGGGGAGGAGATGGTGGCCGGGGTACCTGCACACGGCCCCCTGCTAAGCCGCAGGGACTGTGCCAGGCTGCTGGCCTCTCAGGTGTGCACACCTCTGGATGTAACGCCCAACCTTCACCCATCTCAGGGTCCAAGACTCCTAAAGCCAGACCAGGCCCTGGGTGAGCCCTCGGGGCCTTTCTCAGAAAGGATCTAGGGCTCACAGGCAGAAGCTCTGAGCTCTTAAGGACCTGAGTGTAAGCAGAGAAAAGGCAGGCCTATTTATGAAGCACCTACTACATGACTGGCATCAGGGAAGGACAGTCCTCCCTACCTCCATGGAGCAAATGTGGACGCCGGCTCCAGAGGGCTGAGGCTTCTGCTCCAAGGTCATGCAGCTGCAAGAGGCAGGGCCTGGACCTGAACCCAATGACAGGCTCACCCCACAAAGTGGACTGAGTAAGCTGGGAGGACCCAGGGCCTAGGGTTGACAACCACCACTCAGCGAGGGTACCCAGAACTCCTCCCCCTCCCTTGAGGTCACCCGACTGGGTAAAAATCACCACTTCTTATGGGGATTTTTGTTTTAAGGAGAATAAGAATCAAGTCTCTTACTTTTCAACCGTCACCAACAAGAAAAGGCAGCCTCAGCCCAAGCCCTGGAGGTCTCAGCCTAAAACTGTCCCACCCTCGCTCCCTCTCCACCCTCTCTCTCTCTCACACACGCACACACGTGCATACTCAAACCCACATTCTCACACACACACACATTCTCACACACACACACCCATGAACACAGGTCCCTTGGGCACAGACAGGTACCCTGGGCACCGGGATGAACTCTGGAGACCATGAGTCCCAACAGGGGTGTGACATCATATCACATGAGCATCATGCCAGACAAAGGACCCCAAAAGACGTCCAGCCTCCCAGAGAGGCCTTCTGCTCCACACTCCTCACCTACTGAGAGGGCCTGCCTACCTCCCAGCCGGCCACCTCCAAGCCAAGAGCCACCAGCCTCTCCCTCAACCCTAGACTAAAGCAGGAACTCGTGCGAGCCCCCAGGGTCAGAGGATAGGCCTCCCAGGCTCCAGAGGAGCTCCCCACAGAGAAATAGGCTCAGTCAGTCATTCAAGAAACATTTCCTAAGCATCACTTGCTCTGAGCTTTCTGGCCTGATAAAGATCTTCTGCAGCTATGCTGCATGCAGATGGGCGGGGACCAGGGGAGGCCGGGGCGGTCTTCAGCCTTACTGGGTTGTCTGGGAGAGCAGGGCTGGGGCTGTAGGTGGAGGAGGCAGCCAGGACAGGACACAGCACTGGCTGCTCACCGTGGACTGAGGATGAAGCCCAGGCAGGAGTCAGCTTGGGAGGCACAGGAGGACCAGGCCCAGGGAGGGATGGGGATCCAGGAGATGTGTGTCCAAGATGCCTATGTAGCTTATAGGAGGAGCATCTGGGAGACACAGGAAAGGGGACCACAGACAGGAGCCCCGGACATGGTCTTGAGCCAAGCCTGAGCTTGCAGCTGGTCAAGTCCCAGGAGTGAGCTGAGCTGGGGGCAGGGACAGAGACACAGGGAAGAAACCAGCTGCTTGAGTTTGACTGCGAAGAAGTCCCTAGAGAGCAAGGGGCAGTGGGACACAGCCTTCTGGGGCCCTTCCCTCAGCCTGCCAGCCCCATACCACCAGCACACAACCATCGCCTGGGGGATGGGGCGGCCTCAGTGCCTGAGGGGGGACCCTTGGCTCAAGAGTGGGTTCTCTCTGGGCAGATGGAGTCCAGAGTTTCAACAAAAATGCCACAACATCAACTCTCCAAAATCCCAGGAAGGAGTCCAACAGCAAAATACGCAAGGGACAAAAGAAAATGTAAACAATCAACCAAGTCCTGGAAAAACATTCAATTTCACTAGTAATTAAAAGAAACGCACCATTCCTCCCTACTGAGCTTAGTAATTTCTTTTTTAACAATATTAAAACACAATCCTGAGAAATCTAAAATGAAACAGACCATAAACAAGCATATAAAATCCCTAATTACCTAGGAAGTCACAAAGGCACTGAACGTCAAGACCATAGGAATGCTGGGACCCTAGTTTTCATCTATCACACTGGGTCACTCATTCACTCACTTATCAAACACCTACTACGCGCCAGATCCCACGGTAGGTTTTGGGGACACTGAACTAGGTAAGTAAGGCACAGTTACCTCCCTCAAGGGCTTAGAATTGAAAGCTTAAAGCTAGTCTATTCCTAGGAATCTATTCTTAGAAAATGACTCAAAATATCAGGAAGGTGCAATGCACAAAAATATTCAATGCAGCTTGCTAAACACAAAAACATCAGAAAAGGGAAAACTGAAATGCCACCAGGGAATGGCTAAGTGAACCAGGGTGCACGCTCTGGACAGAATAGTAAAGGCCATTAAAAATGATATTTATAAAAAGTTTGCAAAAGCGAGAGGAGCCCACCCATGTGGGAAAAATGCAGGGGCCTGGGATACGGCGCGCGGGGAGCTCTGCAGATGCACAGGAGAGTAAATCTGGGAAAGACGTGAAAATGTTCAGGGGGGTATAAAATATAACGGTCCCTTTCTCCTTTCTCCCTTTTTGCATTTTACACATTTTTCTAAGTGCATAATGGAAAAAGCAATAAACTTCGAAAAGTAGCCACAGCCCACAAGTGGGATAAAAAACAGCACCAGGAAGGCGGGAGAGAGGGCTGGAGGTAGGGAGGAGACAGGTAGAAAGGGAAAGCAAAGGTGAAGGGGGAAGAAAGGGTGAAGGGTGGGAGGGGGACCAGGACTCACCTTTGACATTGCTCAGCGACAGGGAGCGCTCCTGGTCGGCCAACCCAGGCCCCAGCCGGCCACTGCCGCCACTGTCCTTCTGCCGGGCCACAGCCACCGCAATGCCCACGGGCGGATGTCGCACCTCCGCCTCACCCTGGGCACCGGAGCCCTCGCGACCGAAGGCCTTGGCGCTCTCGGGCCTCTCGGGGTCCCGCTTCA